CGGGGTTGGAGGGGGTGCGGTGTCCAGGGGTTTTCACGGGGTTGGAGGGGGTGCGGTGTCCAGGGGTTTTCACCGGGTTGGAGGGGGTGCGGTGTCCAAGGGTTTTCATGGGGTTGGAGGGAAAGCTTGGGATGAGGCTTGATAGTTAGGGAGGAGCAGCCAGTGAGAAGTCAGGGCGGGAGCTGGGCTAGCTGTCTTCCAGTGGGGACAGGCTTGGCTGGGAGCAAAGGTGGGCCCAGCCGGGTGTGGTGCGTCAGATGGGAGGAGGGGAGGAGGGGAGCTGGAGACCTGGGAGGTCACCCTGCCTGCCTGTTGCCTGGGGCTGCAGCGTGAGCGGTGGAGTTGGACAGCAGGAAGAACTGGGCTGAGAACAGGAAGGTCGCCTGTGAAGCTGCTTCTGAGAGTCTTAGAACACAGAGAAGGGCGACTGGGGTGTGTGTGCTCCCGGTCCTGGCCTTACCCGAGGAAACTTCCAGTCCAGACGGGAGCTTGAATCCCTGCATGTGGTCTCTGTTGGACTTGTAGGAGGGCAACTTGACCCAGCCACTAGACTTGGTTTTCTCCAGAAATTCTTGGTACAGGCTCAGCAGGTCCGAGCACCAGCTAGCATTGGGAAGGGCATAATCCTTCAAGTCTGTCTTCTCTGAGCATAATTTTGAGACCTGGGCAGGAAAAATCAGAAGGACGAGACTGCGTCCTGGAGAGGGGCTGCTGCCTGGGCTCGGGACCTCTACACAGCTGTTCCTGGGTGCTGGGGGTTCTCAATCCCTTCTGCCAGAGGAGAATCGACCCAAGGGAAAGGGCCCATCTTCCCTGCAGGGGGTTTGAGGACCCCTGTGGGTGGCAGGACATAGGGGCTCTAAATAGCAAAGGAAGGGCCGGCAGTAAGTGGGGCCGGAGATGATGGGCATGTTGCTCAATGCGGTGTGTTACCCTTGTCCTGCTTAAAACCTGTGAGCAGTTCTGTAAAGCCTGACAACTGCTCATATCAGCCTCGCTGTACAGATGGGGAAACTGAGGGAATATGGCCAAGATTGGTAAGCACGTGGCTGTGAGAGCTGGTGGTTGCACCATGCTGTCTCCTCTGCAGGGCAGGGTCACAGTTGTGGAGGACCACTCTAGTCACCCTGCCTCAGGGACGACTCCAGCTCTGCCCGCTGCTGTGGGCCTATCTGGGCAGGGTGGCACCTTTGAAACACATGTGGCTCCCACAGAGGTGTGGTGCCGCGTATGGGGCACAGACTATGTGCCCGTTTGTGTGACATAAGGAAGTCCTCTGTAGCGTCACCTGCTCGCACACCAGTCACAACTGTGGGCGGCATGCAAGCTGCTTGCCAACACCACAGAGAGGGTCCTCCGTCGGGGGATACCCCAGCTTTGCTGCAATAGTCTGAGTCCCATAGGAGGAAAGCGATTTGTTGGTGGCCAGACAAGGCTCAGAGCAGGATGCACGTCTCCTGGTGGTTTTAGTTCAGAATCAGGGCCACTTGGTATCCCAAGGCACCTTCCCTTTGCCAAATCAAATAGCTTCTCCAAATACTCTCCACCTACCCTGGCCATGGGCTGGGAAGAGGAGATCTGGGGTGCTCCTTAAGCCCTAGGCTCTTGGGAAAAGGCTGCGCATCTGGCTGAGCTGGGAACTCACTCACCGGAGAGTCTGTGGAGGATCCAAATGCTGAGGCAGGGTTGAGTCTGGGCAGGACACGGGGGGCCCCAAGAAGGCCTCTGTGGTGGCCAAGTCTTGCCATCACCTGGAAGCCTCTCCTTATCATGGCCGAGTGCAAGGATCAGGCCCTGCTTGGACGGAGGGTCTCGGCTGACTCCTAAGGAGTGCTTCAGCTGCACTTGGGGCCGCTGCTCTCCCTTCTGCCGCAGGCTTTCTTTCAGAGAGCTAGGCAAGGCTAGGTTAGCGTGCTGTGACACCTATGTATGTTCACTGCCTTTCACTGGGCCCAGGACCCTACCCAGTGCTTGAGGAGGGGCAGATGTTGTTGGGCACGAAAAGGCAGCAGGGCTGGCTTGAGTTGCGAAAGGAGTGGGAGTGAAAAAGCACGTAAGCACGGAGTGTGGGTACACAGAGCCTTGGAGAGCTGCCTGCGGGTCCGAGGGAGAATCCAAGAGTATTTCCAGAAAGGTAAGGAAAGCTCATTTCCTGATTGGAGGATGCTGGTGGAGTGTTTGCGGCATATGCTCTGCAGTGCACACCTGACTGAAAACTCTGGTATGATTTTGAGACTCAGAAAACCAACTCACAGCCTTAGACGCCTCCTTTTTCTTTTTTTTTTTTTTTGAGATGCAGTTTTGCTTTTGTCACCAGGCTGGAGTGCAATGTCAAAATCTCGGCTCACTGCAAACTCTTCCTCCTGGGTTCAAGTGATTCTCCTGCCTCAGCCTCCGGAGTAGTTGGGATTGCAGGCGCACACCACCACGCCCAGGTAATTTTTGTATTTTTTTTTTTTAGTAGAGATGGGGTTTCACCATGTTGGCCAGGCTGGTCTCAAACTCCTGACCTCAGGTGATCCTCCCACCTTGGCCTCCCAAAGTGCTGGGATTACAGGCATGAGCCACTATGCCTGGCCTGAACCAGCTTTTTTTTTTTTTTTTTTTTTTTTTTAATCTATTCAGGCTCTTGGTCTAAGCAAAGATATTTGAATGGGTTGCCACCTCCAGATAAGTAGGAGATCCAGCAGCAGTCATCTTCAGCCCTGGGCTGCAGCTGTTGCTATAGCTGGTACCTTGTGCCTGTGGCTTGCCCAGGCCTCCTTGGCACTTGGTGTCCCTTGATTTCCTGGGTCCATCTTTGATCTGGAAGGATAGACTGGAGGAGAATATAGGATAGAAAAGAAAAACCGTAAGAAGGATAGGAGAACTGGAGAGGAGCCAGAGGAAAGGCAAGTGGGGGGCAGGAGGTGCTCCTCAGGTGGCACTGACAGCTGGAAGCTGGTCCCAGCAAGGTGGCCCCAGGACGAAAGAGCTGTCCTCCTAGGAAGAGTCAGTAGGGCCGGGCGCAGTGGCTCACGCCTGTAATCCCAGCACTTTGGGAGGCCAAGACGGGCAGATCACCTGAGGTCGGGAGTTTGAGACCAGCCTGACCAACATGGAGAAACCCCATCTCTACTAAAAATACAAAATTAGCCGGGTATGGTGGCACATGCCTATAGTCCCAGCTACTCAGGATGCTGAGGCAGGAGAACGGCTTGAACCCGGGAGGCAGAGCTGAGACTGCACCATTGCACTGGCAACAAGAGCAAAACTCCATCACACACACACACACAAAGTCAGTAGGTGGCTGGATGCAGTGGCTCATGCCTATAATTCCAGCATTTTGGGAAGCTGAAATGGGCGGATCGCTTGAGCCCAGGAGTTCAAGACCAGCCTGGACAATACAGTGAGACCCTGATTCTACAAAAAAGAAAAAAATTAGCTGGCCATGGTGATGTGCACCTGTGGTCCCAGCTACTCAGGTGGCTGAGGGAGGAGGATCACTTTAGCCCAGGGGTTTGAGGCTACAGTGAGCCCAGCTTGTGCCAGGGCACTGCACCTGGGTGACAGAGTGAGACCCTGTCTCAATTAAAAGAAAACAAAGTCAGTAGTTGAGCCTGGGAAAGGGCTGTTTCACTGGCTGAGAGCCGCTTGGGAGCTGGGCGTCCTCCAGCCACTTCCCCATGTGATCCCAGTGGGGTCTGAATCTCTTGTTGCCTCCTATGTTGGTTGTTTGATGATCTCTGGTTAAATTGACTTTCAAATATTTACATAATTATGATTATGTCACTTTTGCTCTCAGCCTTGCCACATACTACAGTTACATTTGTTCCCTTTATAACTCTGTTTTCTTGAGTGGATAATCACCAAGGTTCAGCTGGATGATGTGGTCCAGGGGAAAACAGGGGAAGGGAAGGAGCTGGCGAGTGGTCGAGGTCAACGTTCACTTCCTTGCTAGGAGGGAAGAGTGTCCAGGAGGAAGAAAATAAAAGAGACGAGGCTCTGGTGCTGTCTGTTATACTGCAGAGCATCTCTGGTTGGATCAAGGGCATGACAGATGAAAGGAATTAGGATATCTGAGAAGAACATCCATGGCTGATGGTACAACCATGGGCGTGGCCCCGAATTAGGCTGGCCGGAGGAGAGTAAAGGAGGTTTCCAAGGCCATCTAGGAAGAGAAAGATTAGGATTATTGAGAAAGTGCTCCTTCCCCCTTTCCAGCTCCTCCTTCCACCATTCCACACGTCTTGTGGATACTTTCTGCAACACGGAGCCCTTCCTGGATATGGGCCAGTGTCAGCTCTCCAGGGAGGTGGAAAGGTGCCCAGCTAATACTTTGAATGGGTTTTGTGACAACATGAATTTCAGCCCTAGCCCTTCTCCTCCTGTATGAATGTAGCTCAGAGAAAATAAAGAAAATTCAGCCCAGAGACAAGAAAGCCTCTCTTCAGTCCTGGGGTCTCTGGAGAAACAATCAGGAAAAAGAGGAAGCCAGTGCCCATTAAGTGTAGCTGAGAACTCCTGCTGAGTTTTGGTTTAGCTTACTGCTGGCCTGGTTCATTTCCAGCTTGGGATCCATGGGTGGACGTTGAGTTCGGAAGCTTTTCTTCCTGGGGTATGACCTGTGCCCAGAAGCCAGTCCTATGCCTGATCTGCCCATGGTCCACAACAGAACCAGCAGTGATACGCGGGCAAACACGTAACAGTCTTATGTGGGACTGGGGTAGGTCGGGGGAGCTCTGACTTGTAGCATTTGCCCATTTCTGCAGTGTAAACACTCCCATGGTGGCTGATTTCTAGCTGTCAATATGAAGTCACTGTGCAGTTAGGGGGAGGTGAGCCCAGTCAGCTTTTGTAAACCAGTAGGAGCCGGCTCCAGCATAGCACTGGGCGAGGAATCTCTTTGGCTCGGAGTGAAAGAGCAGGCGTAACCAAGGCCTTGGTGGGTTCAACACGTCAGCTCTTGGTCCCAGATTTAAACTCACTTGTACTGCTCTATCTTTTGGAGTTTCCTTCCCTTGGAAGGCTGACTATGGAGTACCCAGTCTCCCCAGCTTGTCCTCTTTGTTGCCCCCTCAAACAAATTCACAGGACATGTTTTGTTCAAAGACACTTATTGTTAACCACTAAGAGGAAACAGGAAGATGATTAACATTCCCAGAAATCTCCCAAAGTCCTCCATGTCATGGGTGGCCCTGGGGGCCCTTCTCAGATCACGCTGGACATGTGCTGAGCTCCCCTGATGTGGACTGACTGGCCCCCTGCGGGATGGTGGGACTCCCGACACTTTGGAATGGTGCTGTGTGGGCTGATTGCCATCTGGCCAATCTGGATGAGGAAAGAGCTTTTCTAGACATCAGATCCCGCCTGAAGATTCAGCCCCGCGGGCTTACCATGGGCAACTTCTAGAGGGCAACTCCTACTGAGGCTGCCCTGCCCTCAGGAGAGCCGAGTTCCTTGACTTGCAGAGCTAAGGGTCAGAGGCAAGCTGGGCAGGAGGAGCTGGGCCTAATAGGGGTGGTGGGCAGACCCAAGGGGTCTTGGGGGCAACTCTGGCCTCACCCCATGTGGGAGTTACCTTGATATAGGCCCAGCTGCCGACACCTCTGCTTTTTCAAGAAAAGGTGGTGCCAATCTAGACTTGTATGTGAAAAATCCTAACCTTTAGATGCTGCAATAGTAACTTATAAAAATACTGCCTGAAGCAAACCAAATGCCTCTGACTAGATCCTGTCCTGTGAGTTGCCGGTCCCGCCCCCTGGTTCTCAGCTCATTCCCAGGCCCTCCGGGAGTCTGCTGCTTATCTGCCCAGATCTAGTCTCTGACGCTTTCCAGATTAGCCAGTTTTTCCTGGTTCCCTCTGGGAAGGACCTTCTTGAGATTCATTTTACACCCTGGACACCCAGAGAGGACTCTGAAAAGGAAAGTAATTGTTACATGTTGAAACGAATAAATCGGCTGGCTCTATGGGCCTCAGGCTTTGTCCAGCTCGGGGAAGGGAACAAACCCACCCTCAGACAGTCCAGGGCAGGTGAGGACTCTCTGCAACCAGGAAAAAGATTGTCTTGACAAAACATGGGGCACAGGATGGGAGCTAAAAGAAATTATGCAGCCGGGGAAAATTTCTCTTTCATTAACTCAGATTCAACGTTGTCCTCTTCACCATCATTTCGCCATTCTCCTCATGAAAATCCACTCAGGTTCCCGTTGAAACTAAGAAGCAAAATAAAATAACAAATTTTATTTTATTATGTAATACAATGAAATAATGTAATCTACTCTTACATTATGACCCTTCCTAGGGATATTTATATTTTATTTTATTTATTTAGTGTAACAGAGATGGGGGCCTCACAAGGTTGCCCAGGCTGATCCTTAAACTCCGAGCTCAAGCAGTTCTCCGCCCTCAGCCTCCCAAAGTGCTGGGATGGCAGGCCACTGAGCCCAGCCGGAATATGTACATTTTAAAAGAGAAGGAGAACTTTATCAATTTCTTTTTTTTTTTTTTTCTCCTAGAGATAGGATCTCACTCTGTGACTAAGGCTAGAGCGCAGTGATGTGATTACGGCTCACTGCTGCCTTGACCTCCTGTGATTACGGCTCACTGCAGCCTTGACCTCCTGTGATTACGGCGCACTGCAGCCTTGACCTCCTGTGATTACGGCTCACTGCAGCCTTGACCTCCTGGACTTGATAGATTCTCCTGCCTCAGCCTCCCGAGTAGCTGGGACCACAGGTGCATGCCACCACGTTCAGCTAATTTAAAAAATTACTTGTAGAGATAAGATCCCACTGTGTTGCCCAGGCTGGTCTCGAACTCCTGGGCTCAAGCAAGCCTCCCGCCTTGGCCTCCTGAAATGTTGGGATTATAGGCGTGAGCCACCATGCCTGGCCTAAAACTTTATCAATTTCTTGATCAGGGTATTATTCTTTATAAATACAAAGTTTTCAAAATCCCAAATTGGAAACTCTGGCCTCGCGTGCAGTGATAAAATAAATACCCTTCCACCTCTGCCTTCTCC